ATATTTTGGTACGACGCAGTCCAGCAAGTTTCATATCAACGCAACTAGAAATTGGTTCAATATCATCGTTCCACTTCCTTGTCAGTGGAGATCGTTAAACCAAGAAGGCACAATGTGTTACTCTCCCGGGTGTTAACGTCAGTCATGCTGCTGGAAGACAAAAATAGTTCTTTATGATCACTGAAAGATCGTAGTTTCGTTTTGGCGGGGTTAAAATTGGCACGCTATTTATTTCCCCTGCTAACAGCTGATTGAAGGTCATTGTTGAGATCAGTTGCCAGTTTGGCTTTCTCGGACTTACTATTAAGACAGGAGTAAATAGCTGTGCTCTCTGCATAAGTACCGATTTGGTGACATCGAGAAAGTTGTTGATGAAGATGACAAACAACGTATGTCCAAGTATAGAGCCCTGAGGTCTCCCACATAAATGTGAAATGATCCAGATAAGTGGCCGTTCAAGATGAAATTCATTACCCGATATGTTCAGCTTGTGAAGAATACCTGTATGCTAAACCCTGTCAAACGACTTCGATATATCTAAAGCCACAGCTCGAGACACGCCGTTCTTATCTAAAGCTTGATGGACGACTCAGTACAAGCTGAGTATCCTTAATCCGAAATTTCCAAATCCGAAATTCCCAAATCCGAAAACCTTCAAAATCCGAAAGTTTTTCGGGTGCCGAAATGACTTGCCACAAATGGAAAACAATTAGAAAGCACTGGGGCTTTTTCTAGGGGATGTGCAGCTGTTGTAAGTGACCTCATCTGCCCTGGGTGGAGGTTCTCCTACGTTGGCGCCAGTTTTTGTCAACGATTGTCATAGCAACACCTTCGTTCATGGATTACTTACCAGGTTTTTCGTACTTATTAAAGATATTCAAAATGTCAAAAAATCTTGCATTGATATATTTTTACAAGTAGGGTTCATGTTTTTTTTGTACACGTACAAAAAGTACAAAACATTATTTTTGCGCGAAATCCGTGTGAGCATTATGTGACTAGCGTCATTACCTGTATCTGTATGTACACAATATTTATTAATTTTTATATAAACTACTTCCAGGGTATATATATATATATATATATATATATATATAAACTGCCTTCGGGGTATATACATAAGTTGTACTGTGAAATGTAACGGGATATTGTGTTTATGCTTGGGTTCTATTCCCAAGCTGCCCTACTTTATAGATGCTATATACAAATTACGAAGCCTGTATTCCAAAATCGGAAAAAAAAACCATCTGAAAACCCGAAGCCCGAGAACTTCGGATAAAAGATTGTCGTCCTCTAATAACGGTTAACACATCGAAAGTTGACCTAGAGAAACGAATGCTATAATGTTTATCATAAAGGCGGCCGTGCAAATTTACATGCATAACCAATTCGGGTTTGGTTTGTTTTAGGGTATATCAACCTCAATGGGTTACTTAATTCCGACAAATCTTTTATTGCTAGTAATATTTTCTTTGAAAATAAACTATAGGTGGTAATATCTTTTTTTTCTAAAAATGTGTTACTGGTAATAATTTTTTTACACAGTATTTCTGGTATGTATTAAAACCTATTTTTACACTTTCATAGTGTTTTGACCCCAGTTTAGGTGTCAACTATTTGCCCATAGCAGGGACTCTAACAGGCGCTACGACTCCGGGTCAGGGTGGACATGGGAACACCAGCAATTAAAAGGTGGTTCCACGCTCCTCAAAACCTCCTGATCAGAGGCCTTGCTGTTGGATGTAGTTTACCGTCATACCCAGGACCCAATTCGGGGTTGAACAGAGGCTTTAGTAGTTAGCCAAAAAAGAGTAAAAACTAACAGGACGATATTACGAGGGATCAGAAGGTTCAGCAGAGTTCTTAGGAAGAAAGGCTTGGAGAATTTGAAACGCATAGAAATGGACAGAGAAAGGCAGCGGACCACCTACCTGACGAACTTAATGCAAATGTATGGCGGAACTGAGATTGGCAAAAAGACAAAAGTTGCTAAGAACTCCAAAGAATAGGAAGTTGTGGAAAGTCATGATCAATCACGCCCTGAAGAGACACGACACAAAGGAAATAGGGATTCGCCTGCAGGTTAAAAGTCAACTATTTAATCAAATGCCTATTTGAACGGAATGTGGCGTAAAGCTGGGGCTAAATTGAGATTCTCGAAATAAATGCCGAGGGAACTCAGCCATATTTGTCCCCAGTCTCTTGATTGGGGACAAATATGGTTCAGTTCCCTAGGAATCTACCTATTCGGACTACTCAGGTACCAGAGGCTAACCCTAGCTTTCCCTGTGGAAGAGATTAGGCTTATGGGTACGCCTCCTGGGGCTAAGCGGGCTAAGAGTGGGCAGATATTCAATGGAAATTTTATGAATGGACAGATATTTCCTAATGATTTTCAAATTTGGCCAAAGGCCTAAAAAAAGTGATAAAGTGGTGGTGGTGGGGGGGTCTAATCCTGTTTGCTTTAATTTTAGACCTAGCTATTTATAATCGTTGACATAAATATTGGATAATTTTTATGCCACCAAAACATTGTATTTACATTTCTATATAGTATTGCAGAATAAAACCATAATTTTTCTGGGAATTCCTAACAAGTCCTAGACATACAGCTTGCTTGCTTGCTTTCTTTCTTGCCGTGGTACGGTGGTGTAATGGATAGCGGCTTAGATTGAAGCATCAGTAGTACCGAGTTCGAATTTCAGTCGAATTACATTCACTGAGGGTCGCAAAAAGACAAAAGTTGTTAAGAACTCCAAAGAATAGGAAGTTGAGGAAAGTCATGATCGACCACGTTCCGAAGGGACGCGGCACAAAGGAAGTAGTAATTCGCCTGCAGGTTAAAAGTCAACGGAATGTGGCGTAAAGCTGGTTTTAAATTGAAAGTACCGAGGAAACTGGGCCATATTTCACTTACTTGCTAATACCCTTGGGAAAGGTATGAATCCTTTTCTTTTCCCCCAAACTATGGGTAAATAGCCGGACAGATTGTCAGCCAGTCTAGGAGAAGGAAATTGTGAATTCAAAATCAGCCTGGAGAGAGTTGGTCTCTCCAAGAAATATCAATTCACGGCTGCAATACACATACCCCTAATTATCACGGGATAAAAAAAGAAGAAAAGGTGGTACAAATTTAAATATCCACGTTGTTTATTTAGTCCCGCTCCAGAAATTACCCGATTCCTGTCCGCTGTATCATTACAAGAGTCGGACCAAACCAAAAAATGGAGTATAGCTACTACATCTGGAGCTGCTTAGTTTTGACTTTCCAGCCTCGACCGAGTTCAACAGCGTTTGAGAAGCCTTGTGGGTGATGAATTGTTGTCCCCCTCTTCATCTCCTTTTCCATGTTACTAGCCTCGCACTACTCCTTCGCTATTTTCATGGTAAACTATCTTACTTGGTTCCACCAATCCAGACAGTCATAGCTCTGACTGCCATGCCAGGTACACTGAGTTGATTCATCTCCATTCCCTTCATGTTCCATTGGTAAGGAGGAAGTTCCACTCAGCTTTTTCGGCACAATTATTGCAATGTGGAACCAACGCTCGAGAAGCCGTGAAAAGTTCACCATTTTCCTATTCTGATGAATCTTAATTCTTAAATTAATGATTAAGCGTTTTACAACAATAAAATATCCGTAGAAATTGCGCTTTTGCATCATTAAATATTTGAGCTTAATAACTTTAACAAAATATTGCAGTAGCACTCATAAATAAGAATTCTGGTCATTAAAGAAGTGGGTACAAATGGAAACATTTGAAATTGACAACTGTTTCCATTTTATTGAAACAGGCGTTAAAGAGTTCTAATCTCCCTTCTTTGTTTGTTTGTTTCTTTCTTTCATTTTCTGACTGAAATCAAATAGTGTCTTTTCCCCTCTTTCTACGTGATCAAAATGGAATAGTCCATTATTTATGAGGTAGACAATAAACACTTTTATCTTCCTTTTTTATTTCTAGCTAAATCCCCGTTTTACGAACATTTCTCTTAATAATAATTTAAACATAATTCAGCAGACGATGTTATTTTATAAACATAGTGATTTTCCAAGCGTAGCTTAGATGTGGCATAAGGCAGAAAGTACGAGGCTCCCTGTGAGAATCGAACTCACAACTCAAGTCGTAACTGATCTAGCGAGGCAATCTACTAACCATAACACCACGTTGAAGTGCCCATAAATATAGCGATTTTCCAAGTGTAGCTTAGATGTGGCACAAGGCAGAAAGTAGGGGGCAACCAGTGAAGATCGAACTCACTACTCAGTCGTAATTGTTCTCGTGAGACAAGCTTGCTAACCATTACACTGCTTCGAGGTGCCCTTGTATCCTTAAATATTTGAGCTTAACAATTTAACAAAATATTCCAATACCAGTCATAAATAAAAATGCTGGTCATTATTTAAAGAAGTAAGGGGATACAAATGGAAACATTTGAAACTGACAACTTTTTCCTTTTTACTGAAACAGCCGTTAAACACTTCTATCTCCTCTTCTTTCTTTTCTTTCCTTTCTTTCTTTTTCTCACTGAAACCAAGTAGTGTCTTTCCCCCTCTTTAAATGCAATCAAAACGGCATAATCCGTTATTTATGAGGTATGGGCAGGACATAATGGTCGTGCGAACTAACGAAGGGATGGACAAGTACAATTATAATAAGAATTTTAAAAAAATAATTTCACTCCAAGCAAGGCGGTAATGCCACCAGAAGGAAGTAGTGGAGTCGGTTACAGAGAGTGAACGTGAAAGAGAATGAGAACACTGAGAATGGGGAGTATTATGGAATGGAAAAAAGGAACGGGGATTAAGAAGACAGAAGATGGCGATTAACGTTGCATTTAAATTTTTGAAGATTGTTGTTATCAGGGAAGCAAGATGGGAAGTGCAAGAAAAGAAACATTTATTCATCATATATGCATGAAAAATTAGAATTTGTCTGTTTATGCTTTCCTCGTGCCACTAATTTGGCATATAACATTTTTCACATACACTTATAACCAGCTTACGGCCATACATGTTGAAACACCAGTTCTCGCAAGATCACCGAAGTTAAGCAATGTCGATCCTGATCAGTACCTATATGGGTCATCGCTCGAGAATACCAGGTGCCTTAAGCTTGGATTGTGCGTAGGGTGTAACGCATAACTGTTCGGATTTTGAAATCGTGGAATCGAGTTCCAATTCGAGTCGGGTTCTTTATGCATATAATAACGCGCAAATACCCTTTAAGAAGGCATGAATCCAACTCTTATCCTCCTAATTATGTGTTAAGTAGTAGGACTTGTATCAGTAAATTATTGTTATCTCAAAAAAATTCTTAGAATCTACAAAAGTTTGCTAAGCCATAAAACACCAACCAATCAATCAAACACTTATAAACGCCCCCCAACTAAAAGGAAGACTCAACTGCAACAATATTTAAAATGCTATTCTGCATAAATTAAAAGGAACTAACATCATGCCAATCATTTTAGTCAACAGTATGTATATATATATATATATATATATATATATATATATATATATATATATATATATATATATATATATTCCTTTATTATAATTTTATCATATAGACAAAACCATTTTATTCAATACAAAGATGCAACTTGGTTTCAGTGCATTTCAACTGCACTTCGACGGGTGAGAATCGAAAATGGTTATGAACAATCCTGCTTGTAGGCAAGCCGTGTGTGAAACGTCACTTTCTTTTTTCCATTTGTTTGAGAAGAAAAAAAATATAGGTGACGAAGTGAAACAATAGTGCGTCACCTATATATATATATTTTCTCTCAAGTTGCATCTTTGTAGTGAGTAAAATGGTTTTGTCTATATGATAAAATTATAATAAATAAATAATTATCACTCTACTATCGGTATTGAGCCCTCTTTTGGATTAATGCTGTGAAAGTTGGAATTTATATATTACTTTCGTTCTCATCGCATCGGATATATATATCTATATCTATATCTATCTATCTATCTATATATATATATATATATATATATATATATATATATATATAGGATATGCCTCAACCACACTTTCATAGAGATTCAGTTGCTATCTATCGGACCACAGTGCCCTCAGACAACACATTAATAAGCAGTATAAGAGACATAGTAATATTAGACAGCTACTCATTAACAATACCAAAATACTAGCAAAATCAAATAGTAAAAAGAGACTTATAATCCTTGAAGCAATTGTTATACAACGAAAACAACAATCCATAAATAAAACCAATTATAACTTAATAGCCCGCATCCTTAAATATATATATAAAACAAAAAACAAAACACCTATCATACGTCACAACACTCTTTGCTTACGTTACAGCACTCTCTGCTTACGTCCAACACTTTGTTTACGTCATAACACTTAATAGTTCTACAACTTTAGAACGCAAAATGCGCCCCTTCCGTTTCCATTCCATATTTCTAACAGCTTATTTAAAAAAAAAATAGCATTTTTCCTATATCTACCATGATGGTGACATAAGCATTTTTCCTATATCTACCATCATAGTGACTTTAGAAAATCGAAAGCTTTTTACCCTATTACCTGTATTATTCTTCTGAAATGAACTTCGGACAATTTCTGACGGAATTTCGTCTTTCTCTGTGAAGGATTATTCGTACATTGGAAAATTCTATCGTTAAAATTACTCGACATAAAATATCTATTTTTTCTAACGTAATAATATAATTTCTTAAATATGAAGGAATAGATTTAGAGGAATAAAAGTATATCGAATTAATAAATAAAAGTTCATTATTTCTTTAGAAATTGATTTGTTTACGTTTCGGATACGAAATTGAGCATTTATGAGGTCTTAAGAATTCAGTTATGAGGTATTAAGATTTCAGTTATGAGGTATTACGAATGCAGTTATTAGGTATTAAGAATGCAGTTATGAGGTATTAAGAATTCAGTTATGAGGTATTAAGAATGCAGTTATGAGGTATTAAGAATGCAGTATACAGCATTACTTAATCGCAACGCTCTTCGTAGCCGAGTCTGTTAAAGCATATCAGATCTAATTACGGTTTTTCTGTAAAAAGGTACGCAGTTTCGAATCCTGCCGGAGGGTACATTTGATATATTTTCTCGAATATTCAGGCCGGTAGACGAAATAAAATGCTGTTTAAAATAAACAGAGCTACTACTAAAATAGCGTTTAAAGCGATCAGAATATGTCGGATTAATAAATAAAGACACCATTATATATATATATATATATATATATATATATATATATATATATATATAGGTGAACATTGAAGTCAACACTTAGAGGCGACTGGCTGTTTCATGCTAGACGCAATCGGTTTGCCTGACGATTGCGTCTAGCATGAAACAGACTGTCGCCTCTAAGTGTTGACTTCAATGTTCACTTTTATATTTACACACGCTCTATCTCTGATATTGGGAACTTTATCCCATAAATATAGCACACCTTAAGACTATATTACTTCATATATATATATATATATATATATATATATATATATATATATATATATATATATATATAGAACTTCTTTACCAACACGCTTCATCCTCTGAGGAACTTCATCAGGCAGATAAATGTAGAGATTTTATTTTGCAACTTTTATTTATAAACAGAAATGATGAGGAAAAATACCGTTACGTTTTTAAATTTTAAAGCTAAATTTTTATTTTGTTTTAATTTATATTGTCTCTACATATATATTTTATACATATATTCGAATTTTTACACACGCACTCACACATATACACACAGAGATACATACACGTAGTAACCTCTTGCGTCTTCGTGGCTTTATTGCCTTGCTTGAGGCGACTTTATTTCCGAAGGCATGTTAATCTTAAAAACTCATAATACTTCAATGTTAAATAGCTGTGTCGTTTTCGGACATACCTCATATATGGGAGACTGGAGATGGACGCTATACTAAAAAAAATAAGAAAGTGTTTAACAGCTGGTTAGAGCTGACCTCTTGACCAAAGCGTTCTGAACCCTGGCAAGTATTCTGATTGAAATCCATCCCTCTTAACTAAATGAAAAACAAAACCGCTTTTTGAAAGCTCCACATTGATAATAGTACGCGACAATTTGGAATGTTTTCCAGAGAAAAGAACCATGTTAATATCAACAAACGAACTGACTTAGGCGATTTTAATGAGTGATAATTTGGTGCCAGCTGACATTTTTGTTGTAAACAATAGCGAAGAATGACAAAACATGACGTCTTGAAGATTTCCAATGTAACTATTTTGGTCGATTTGTTTATTTTTCTGTGTGCAATCAAAAATAAATATAGCGAGCGAAATTGGAAATAAATACGGATTTTTGGAAAGAGAAAAAGTGTTACCTAAAATTTAAAATCCACCGACACCGAATTTACCATTAACCAAAATTAGCAAGGTAGATCAAGTATCAAAGGATCAAGGTAGATCAAGTAAAAAAGGATCAAGGTAGATCAAGTAAAAAAGGATCAAGGTAGATCAAGTATCAAAGGATCAAGGTAGATCAAGTAAAAAAGGATCAAGGTAGATCAAGTAAAAAAGGATCAAGGTAGATCAAGTATTAGGTTGGTGCAAAAATAATGACGTAATAATGTCGTTTTTTGATGTATTTTTTAACATTCAAAAAACGACATTATTACGTCATTATCTTTGCACCAACCTAATAAAAAAGACCTAAAACTTACACAATGGCTTTCATGATTCAGCACTCAAAATATGTTTCTTCAGGCGATTCAAAATAACTGGTGATTAAAAATTTATTTAAAAAAAATTGTATGCACCAATGTTTTAATTTCATTATTATTATTGTTATTGAATATATGATAAAATCCTTCAGAAAGATTCGTTGGTTGATTGATTCGTTTTATACGGCTTATTAACCCTTTCGAGGTTATTTAAAGCCAGAAAATATTTTTAGAGTTTAGGCATTTGCGGGGAGCTGTAATAATCGTTTAGCGATAAGTATTATTAATTAACCCAAAGCTGGGTGGGGGAGAAGAGGTGAATTCATACCTTTTCCAAGGATGTTTGGGAGTAAGTGAATATAACGAACCTAATGGAAATTGGCACTCGGCTCTCTGATTAAGAATTCCGAGCCATTATACATTACATCGCCCGCACATCCAAGCATACAGCACCTGGTATTTCCCTTCAGGAAAAGAAAGTCTCTCTGGATCAAAGTTAGCTAATAAATTGGATTTGAAAAAATGCGCGCAACATTCAATTGACATGCGATTCCATACAGTGGTCCGAACACTTTGGCTTAAAGGGTATTTGTATCAACTGCATTGTAGTGTAGTGTAGTGGTTAAACGATTACTACAGAAGTGATTTTGATCCGCACTGAGTGAGACTCGTGCTGTTTGTACCGGCGTAACATAAGGTCACTAAACATGAAACCATTTCAGGCGCATTGGGGTCGAATAGTAATCAACAAAACAGTCGTACAGAAGTAAGTTTGATTCTTACTGGGTGTTACACACTTTAGCCTTTGTGATGTAGTAAGTGAATGTGCAGGTGGCATAGGGATTGACGTGGAATCGGCGTGCTGAGTTCAAATTCTGAATGAGTCTGTTTCGTTCACTTCACGCATCCGCCATTTTTCTTAAACTCAGACAAGAGAAGCGACTAAAATATGTATTGCATGTGGCGGTCTTACTCTTCTCGCTAGATAATGATTTCATAGAGTTAGCAGCTAGAGGAACCTTTGCGAAAATGTCGATGTCGATGACCTATTATTCTCAACAAAAGAAGTGGGTCTGTACTTCAAAATAATAGGATCTGACTGGAGGTTTGTTACTTGAAAGTTATTACAAGATATATATATATATATGAAACATTAAGAAATTGTTCTTTCGAATGAAATTAACATAAAAATTCTAATAATAAACCCATTAATTCATTATAATTTTTATATCCCCAATTCATCTAATTAGTTCTGGATAAATTATAATAAGAAATATGGGCTTCGACATTGAATGACTGAACCATGATTGATATGTCAAATCAGCCAACGAACTAACCATCTGATTACTTTGTTCAGTAAAGTTGTACAATAAGCACTGGGCCCAGAAATAAATTATTTTTCAATATTTT